AACTAGAAAGGTGAGGCTCACAGAGCCATTTATCCCTCCACTCTTCAATTAATCCCACATGTTTATCAGCCAGGTTGGCACAATAAACTAACTAACTTGGGCACTTCCTTAAACAAATGCAAATACAAGTATTTTCTAGCCCAGCAATCTCTCTACTGGCTATAGACTCTAAATACAAAATACAAAATAAACAGACATATGCCCACCTACGTTTATTGCAGCTACCAAAACTCAACCATGGAGGAATAGATAAATAAGCTCTGGTATGTTCGTACTACGGAATTTTATGCATCAATAAAAAACAATAACTCTTAACATGTTGAACTATATCTGTGTTACTTTAGATTTGTAGTGTTTTTTTCCCCTTAACATTAAAAGCCTTTGAATTTGAAAAACAAAAACAAAAAACAGTAACTCTTTTAAACACCACAAGATATGAGCAAAACTAGAGAACATTATGCTTAGCAAACTCAGTCAATCTCACAAGGATAAATATTTAATATTACCTTTGTTATAAGAAAAAACAAAGAAGAAATGTGGTTTATATACCAATAGACAGGACTTTGATGACGAAGAGAAGACCAGGAATGAGAGTGGCAAGAGGCAAAGGGGAGGGCTGGGGGGCGCGGGAGTAGGGAAAACAAATGGAGGGTTTAACAGGATATTGTTAGTTATTTCATTTCTTGGCATAGGCTGTGCAATATATACATAGTATGTTTCTTTAAAAACCAAAAACATCCTGCCTTTAACTGTGGGCTAGACTGGAGCATGTGCAGTTACAGTCAGGAGATAAGAGCTCACGACATACAAAATTCAGGATCAAGAATGGCAGTAATGATAGCAGGAAGGTAAGCGGAAGATGCAGAGAGGAGAGGAAGGGGGACGAATAATAGAAACCGTGGAGGAAGGGAGACAGCAGTCGGTGTAAGGTATGAAAATAATAATTCATAATTTATCAAGAGGTCACAAGGGGGGAAGGAGGAAAAAAATAAGAGCTGATACCAAGGACTCAATAGAAAGTAAATGTTTAGAAAATAATGAAGGCAACAAACGTACAAATATGCTTGATACAAGTGATGTATGGATTGTTCGAACAGTTGTAAGAGCCCCCATTAAAATGATCTTGATTAAAAAAAAAAAGAAGAAAGAGGTTGATCAGTGGAGTCAAAAGTCTTGTATAAGCTTACAAGAACCCAAAAACCAAAAAACATTTAAAACTCATCCCTCCAGACGTCGGACAGGGCAAGATATGACAAAATAATACTTTTTTTTACAAAATAATAATTTATAAATTATCAAGGGCTCATGAGGGAGGGGGAGCGGAGAGGGAGGGGAAAAATGAGAACCTAATGCCAGGGGCTTAAGTGGAGAGGAAATGTTTTGAGAATGATGAGGGCAATGAATGTACAAATGTGCTTTACACAACTGATGTATGTTGGATTGTGATAAGAGTTGTATGAGCCCCTAATAAAAAAAAAACAAAACACATCCCTCCAGTTCCTTATCTCTCAAACCTAAATAACAGTTTGAGTGGCTTTAAAAAAAATGGGGAGGGGGGACGGGAGGGTAAAATTGAATTGACTTTCGAGTCTTTAGTGACAAACAAAATGTTGGGATAAGTAATTTAGAGTAAAAGTACTAAGGTCTTTGCATATTTTGATAAGGATATATATGCCAGTCTCCAGGGCAGAGGTCCTCAAACTTCTTAAACAGGGGGCCAGTTTACTGTCCCTCAGACCCGTTGGAGGGTCAGACTATAGTTTAAAAAAAACTATGAACAAATTCCTATACACACTGCACATATCTTATTTTGAAGTAAAAAAAACAAAAGGGGAAAAAACACCCAGCAGGCCGGATAAATGTCCTGAGCGGGGCCGCACGTGGCCTTAGTTTGAGGACCCCTGCTCTAAGGCAATCAGAGTGAGTATACAAGCTTAAAGTGACAGGTAGGATGGGAAAGGCTTCAATAATAAAAATGAACCAATTCCCAAACAGGCAAAAAGGAACACAACCCAAATCTGTTAGCAACTACTTTAAAAAATAAATACACTAAATGCTTCAGTTAAATGTTATCAATGATTGGATGAAAAACCTAAAGGTCAACTAACCTAACACAAGTGTGAAAGGTGAAGATAGGCACACTGTCAAGAATATGATAAAATCTATACACTACGTGTATACATCACATGCACAATGGAGTTCGAAGAGCTTGTTTCAATTAAAAGGCTATAATAATTACCAATTGGGAAAAACTGGAGCAGAATAGGAGATGAAAAGAAGTATGAATCGCAGCTGGTTTTAAAGGACAAATCCAAAAGATTGCTAATGGACAGAGTGGGGAGGGCTCAACTTTGGTTGTTTTCTTATTATGACCGTGGTTTGCTGAGGCATCAACTCTATACCCTTTTATGAGATTCTTTCCCCAGGAACTACATTATATTTCAAACACCAAGAAATAAAGTATTAAAAGACAGAGTGTTTAAATGAAGAGACAAACCCTAAACCCCAATTAAATCCATTGCCAGATCTGATCTGACTCATAGCGACCCTATAGAAGGGAGAATAGAACTGCTTCCTAGGGTTTCTAAGATGATAAATCTTTATGGAAGCTGACAGCCTCGTCTTTCTTTCAAGCAGCAGGTTAGTAGCCTAATGCTTAACCCACAGCACCATCAGGGCGAATGAAGAGATAAAAATCACTGCCATAGAGTCAATACTGACTCATAGCAACCCTATAGGACAGGGTAGTTTCCAAGACTGTAACTTTATGGGAGTAGAAAACCCTTATGAAATAAGTAACTCCTGTTATAAGAAAGCTTTTATTATACAGAAAATGTATACATGTGTTAAAAAATTGTGCTTGTAATTAAATTAATACAAGCATAAAAGTGCAAAGATTTCAATTTGTGCTCAAATAATTTATCAGCCAGCCTTAACATCTGGAAAGCACCTGGTTCATATTCATTCCTAGTAGTAATTTAAATCACTTCTTGGCAAGATATTGATTGACTAAAGAGTAAAATACATGTAGCCACTGGGCAGGCACAAATCTTCAACTAATCACTAGTACCCTGAAACAAATCAAAACCCAAACTCGGTAATGGAAAGTACAGCTTTCTCTTATCTAAAAGCAATGAACAAACTGTACTGGTTGAAATACTAACATCAGTAAATTTCATCATTTTAATGTCTTCAACATGTGAAAAATGTTGTTTATTATATAGTCATGTTTTCCCAAAGTTTGCAAGGAAATCTGAGCCAAGTTCTTTTCATACCTGTAAATAAATTTTATCACTGCATTCTATTTCTAAAGAATCAACTCTGATTTTTAAAGGCAAACAAAGGAAAACAGAACAATGAAATGAAAACACTACAACAAAAATAAGACTGCCACTCACATCATAAGTTAGTGAGTCTGCTTCATTGGCCACAGTAAGACCTGCCAGTTCTCCAAGTCCCAATTCACTCTCAAGGGCTCCGTCTGCTCCCGTGATGAATGACTTTCCCGAAGAAGGAGGGAATGTCAATGCTTCCACTACAGGAGGAAGATACAAGAAACAAACAAAACCCCTCAGAGTCAACAATTCATCTCATTCACCTGTGTCAAGCTTTTTTAATAAACAAATGCATGTACGATTTGATTTTTGTAAACAATAAAATTCAGCGAAGCAGAAAATCCTTCAGGATTTTGATAGCTTTTCCCTTATCTCAACCACAAGCTTCAGCCATCATCAAATTAGAAAAATGAGGTGTGAAACATCCAGCGGGCCATAGTCCTTTTTGTTATACAGAAAAATACCATTACAAGAAAACAAATTTTAGTATTTGGTGCCATTTACTTAGGTAGTTTCAGTCAATTACTAAACATATGTAACAAATGATTCATTCTGAACACTGCTGGTCTCATTCAAAGCAAAATTGTCTAATTCTACAAACTGGAAAATATAGAAAATTTCAAATGAAAATAGTTAGTTATAAAATGTGCACATTTGAGGCAAAATTAACTTGCTGTTGTTACTATTAGGTGCCCTCGAATCAGTTCCACCCACAGTGACGCCATGCACAACAAAATGAAACACTGCCTGGTCTTTCACCACCCTCACAAATTGTTCCTATTCTTGATTATTGAAATCATTAAGTCAAGCCAAGTCTTTGAGGGTCTTTCCCCTCCTTCACCAAATAAACATCTGGTGTTAGAAATCAAGATTACCTCCAGAAAGAAAAAAAGGAAGAGTGACTACCGAGTCATACAAGCAGGACTTTTACAGCCCTTGTACTGCTCTGTGTCTTGACATAGGCAGTGATGACAGGGTTAAGAACACCAAACTCAAAATCCAAACTCATGGCCACCGAATAGATGCTGACTCACAGCAACTTTCTAGGGCACGGTGTAGGTATACTGAGTGCTCATTCACTGAGCTGTACGTGAGCACTTTTCTGGATTTGCTGTCATTAGGTGTCAGTAAGTCAGCTCTGATCCACAACGACACTATGCACAGCATCAGTAAACACTGCATGGTCCTGCACCAGCCTCACAATTGTACCTATGCCTGAGCCCATCGATGCAGCCACTGGGTCCATCCATCTCATCAAGGGTCTTCCTGTTTTTCGCCACCCCTCCACTTTACCAAATGTGATGTCCTTCTCCAGGGACTGGTCTCTCCTGACAATATGTGTCCAAAGTACGTAAGCCCAAGTCTTGCCATCCTTGCCTTTAAGGAGTACTTTAGCCTAACTTCTTACAATACCTAAGTTTGTCCTTTTAGCGGCCCATGGTACTTTCACAATTCTCCTCTAGGACCACAATTCAAATGGATTGTTTCTTCTACAGTCTTCCTCATTCAATTTTCAACTTTCACAGGGGCACCTTAGTGCTTAAAGTTGTTAATTATAAAATGAGCAACATCCTTGTGTTTCAATAACCTAAAGCAGTCTTGTGTAGCAGATTTACCTAATGCAGTAAGTCTTTTGCTCTCTTGACTGCTACTTCCATCAGCACTGATTGTGGATCCAAGTAAAACAAAAGCCTTGACAACTTCAACCTTTTCTCCATTTATCATGATGCTACCAATTGGCCTGTCTGTGAGGAAGTTGATCTTCTTTACATTGAACTATAATCCATATGGAAGGCTATAATCCTTGCTCTTCATCAGCAAGTGCTTCAATTCCTCTTTACTTTCAGCAAGCAAGGTCATCTGCATATCACAGGTTGGTAATAAGCCTTCCTATAATCCTGATCCTACATTCTTCTTCATATAATCCAGCTCCTCTGATGATTTGCTCAGCATATAGATTGAACAAGCATGGTGAGGGAACACACTCTGACGCACACCTTTCCAGATTTTAAACACGCAGTATTCTCTTGTTTTGTCTGATCCATGACTTTTGATCTATGTAAAACTTCCAAATGAGGACGATGAAGTGTTCCAGAATTCCCATTCTTCTCAAAGTGATACACAGTTTATTATGGTCCACTGAGTGGAATGCCTTTGCATAGTCAATGAAACACAAGTAAACATGTTTCTGGTATTCTCTGCTTTGAGCCAAGATCCATCTAACATTAGTAATGACATCCTTGTTCTGAATCCAGGCTGAACTTCTGGTACTTCTCTGTCAATGTACTTTTCTGTAGATATATTATACTTCATTAAAAAATGTTTATCTAAAATAAAAATTAGTATCCATTTAAATACTTTCAATAGCTACCAACTGTGCTTTGAGATGTCAGATTTAATTTGTGATAAACTTGAATAGTCTTTACTTTCTAACACTGAACATATCAATCCAATTCTTTCAATAACCATTATGCAAAAGTCATTAAAATGCCAACTTACGAAACAGGGAGGGTAAAGGGAGAATGGGTAGGAAAGAGGGAACCGATTACAAGGAACTATATGTGACCTCCTCCCTGGGGGACAGACAACCGAAAAGTGGGTGAAGGGAGATGTTGGACAGGGCAAGATATGACAAAATACCAATTTATAAACTATCAAGGGCTCATGAGGGAGGGGGGAGCAGGAAGGGAGGGGGAAAATGAGGACCTAATGCCGGGGGTTTAAGTGGAGAGAAAATGTTTTGAGAATGATGTACAAATGCGCTGTACACAATTGATGTGTGTATGGATTGCGATAACAGTTGTATGAGCCCCTAATAAAATGTTTTAAAAAAAAAGCCAACTTAAAGTAAGTTTTATTTAATTTGGTCAATAATGAAATGTTAATTTTATACATGAAAATGTACCAATTATTTGGGGAGCCAGGATCAACTAGACTGCATATAACCACAAAACCTTCTTAGTATAATCACTTCCTGGCATTAGCATATTATTCTTGTTAGAAACCATCAAGTCAGTTCTGACTCAATGACCCTGTGTACAAAACACTGCTGGGTCTAGCACCATTCTCACAGTTGTATGTTTCAGCCTACTGTTTGCAGCTATTGTGTCAATCCACCTCGCTTTCCATTACTCAGTTATTTTTTATTGTTGACCTTCTACTTTACCAAACATGATGTCCTTTTCCAGGAACTGGTGTCTCCTGATAACATGTTCAAATTACATACGGCACAGTCTAGTCATCCTCACTTCTAAGTAGCATTCTGGCTGTACTTCAAAACAGATGTTTGTTCTTCTAGCAGCCCATGCTGTTTATTCTTCTTCACCAACACTCATAATTCAAAGGCATTAATATTTCTTTGGTCTTCCTTAGTCATCATCCAGTTCTCAAACACATATAAGGCTAATAAAAACACCCTGGCATGGGTGAGGCACCTTAGTCTTCATGGTAACATCTCTGCTTTTTAACATTTTAAAGAGTTCTTTTGAAGGAGATTTGCCCAATGCAATATGTTACTTGATTTCCTGACTGTTGCTTCCATGAGAACTGATTATGGATGCAAACAAAATGAAATCCTTGGCAACTTCAATCTCTTCCCTATTTATCATCTTAAGGGGCCCTGGTGACACAGTAGTTGACATGCTCAGCTGCTAACCAGCTACTAATCAAAAGGATGGTGGTTCAAACCCATCAGCTACACCTTGGGAGTACTTCTATTCTGTCATTTAGGGTTGCTATGAGCTGAAATCAACTTGATGCGAATGGATTATCATGCTGTTCCTTATTGGTCCAGATGTAAGGATTTTCTTCTTGATATGTTGAAGTGGAATCCATTCTGAAGAACGTAGTCTTTGATGTGCATCAGTCCTTCGAGTCCCCTTCACTTTGAGCTGGCAAGGTTGTGCCTTCTGCGTATTACACATTGCCAATACACCTCTTCTCGATCCTGAAACCACACTCTTCTTCATAGAGTCCAGCTTCTAGATTGTCAGTATACAGACTGGGCTAAGTATGGTGAAAGGACACAGCCCTGATACACACCTTACCTGATTTTAAAGCACTCGTATCCTCTTGATTTTTTTTTAATGACTGTCCCTTGGCCTATGTGTAGGTTCTGAATGAGCACCATTAAGTGTTGGCCAGGTAGCTGTCTTCCAAATTTCTTAGCATTGACCAGTGAATATTTCTAGCATTAGTCATTTGCAGGAATATTTCCAATGGCTGCTGTCAATTCCTGGAGCCTTGTCTTCAATTACGCCTTAAATGCAGCTTAGACTTCGTCCTTTAATACAATGGGTTCTTGATCATATGCTGCCTCCTGAAATATTTGAATGTCCACTAGGTTCCTCTTGGTACGGTGTGCATTCCTGTGCTGTTCTACATTTGGCCCATAGGGTCCTTCAATATTTCAACTCGAAGCTTAGATTTTGTTTTCTTCAGTTCTTTTAGCAATTATTCCCTTTTGTTTTACTAACTCCAAGTCTTTGCACATTTCACTATGTGAAGGTAAGTAAGAAGGTATTGCTGCTAGGGTTTCAGTTCGTAATATACATGGGTGTAATCCAAACAAAACACTTTAAAACATCTTTGTGATATGTGGATGGCTGTAGGCAAATTCAATAATACACTCACCTAGTCTTTAGGAAGCCTTAAAAAAGAAAGAAAGAAAAGTCCAATCACAACAGACTTCTGAGGGGATGGTAGACCAATTAAATTTTAGGCAGACAGGTCTGCTCAGAAAATGATGGTGACTCACCCTTTCTTGGGATTTTTTCAAAGGACCTAGGATGATTGTGGGAACTTAAGTTTTAAGGAAATTAAAAATTGTACTGGTGGGGAAAAGTCTAGGAAATAGTTGTTGCAAAGAATTCTGCCTTCCCCAACCCCCACACCACAGCAACATACCTACTCATTCTTTAAAGGAGAACTTTCTTGGGAAACCCTACCCCACCCCTATCCCTGATCTTGCCCTTTTAGACTAAGGTGACCAGATTTTAATGTTGGTAAAGCGGGACAAAAGCGGGACACCACTGATAAAACTCATATCCTGGCGAAATAGCCACATGGAAGCTGAAAACCGTATACCCTAGCTTGTCGTGCATTCTTTCAAAAAATCGGGACTTTTTAAAAACACCATGGGACGCAGGAAAAATTGTTAAAAATTGGGACTGTCCTGCCAAAAGCAAGACATCTGGTCACCTTACTTTAGACTCCTTTTCGTTTCCCAAACTCAAAGAAAACTGAAAAGGCACATGATTTGAATCCTTTGAAGATGCCAAACTATTGTTTTCACATGCTGTAAATGGAAGATCGCCGAATTCTTCAGGGAAGAGTTAGAAAGACGGAAATACCATCTTCAGAAGTATATAAAACTTGGATGGAAGATATATTGAGAAACAATAGCTTTACATATGAATGCTTTGTTCAACAAAGGTTTCTAAAATTTTGTAGCAGTATTCAGACTTGTAACACTACGTACATTTTCTTCTTGAGCTGTCCTCAAATACCCCATCTAGTTCTTTTTATCATTCTTCTGCAAATCTTAGCTACTCTATCATGTTTAAGAGCAAATTTCACAGTCTCTTCTGACCTCCATTTTGGTCTTTTCAGTTTTTAAATTTGTTTTAAATGACCTTTGGCTGTCTTCTTCTATGATACCCTTGAATTAATGGCTCAAATTTTAGTAATAGTCCTATTAATTGCTCTTCCTTATAAACATATGGATATTATCCTATCACCAGGATAGATCTTAAAATGTTGTTTTTGACAAAGTTGTTTTTGACAAAGTGTGATAATAGCCAACCAATTTCAGGCCTTCAATGCTCTGTGATTTGACTGCTTCTTAAGATGCCTTAGAACTTAATATTACAATTTCATGTCTATTGGTCATTAAACAGTAAAAATTTACTACAGTCAAGTAAATTCTTACACACAGCCACACTTACTTGGGGTGTCAACTCTGCAAATCTTTATGAAAGCAGACAGCTTGTCCTTCGGAGCATCTGGTGGGTTTGAGCTGCTGGACTTGTGGTGAGCAGCCCACCTCAGACCCCACTCCACCACCAGGCTCCTTCAGTTGACATTAGTGTTTGCTAACTCAACAAAACCAGCCCTGATCAGCATTTTACAGAAACTACTTACCTGTGCCTCTTAAATGTGACATTGTCTTCTAAAATTTCAAATAATAAAGTGTGTGTGTGTGTGTGTGTGTGTGTGTGTGTGCGTGAACACAGGTTTATACGCATACATAATCATGAACTATGCCCTCAAGTTCTAAAAATACCTCATTAAGAAAGCACACACAGGCATGGAAGCTTTTTCTGAAAGTGGACTGGAGACCAAGGACTATCAGCCCAGGCAATGAAACATACAATCTATTTCTTAAGTGCTTTTTTCCACTTCTGAAAAATTTGCACTATGACTGAGGTTTAGGATCATGCTACAAACAGAAAAGTTGATTCAATGCTTCAGTTTTAAGGTTCTTAAATATGTTTTCTATCAAGGGCACTTTTTGTGGCTTAATAATGTTCACCTCTCATTTAATAATAAGTACTTATCTCTGCTCTATTATTAGAATTCTGCACAATTTACATAGGACTCAAGATGAAACCTCTGACAAAATACCATTTTTGAGTTACGATAATACAAGAAAGGTTTTCCTCCTCTATCTAGAGCTGATCTTAGAATAAATGAAAATCCTGTTATCTATGAAAAATACTACTGAACAATATACCTATCGAGGGCCATGATTTCTCATCTGTAATTCTCAAGGCATGGGTCTACATAAAATGAGCTGAATGTCTAGATTATAGAATGTAATGTGTTGATTCTTCATAATCTAAAAAACTCCAAGGACACTGCAACTCTAGCAACAACTAAATTCTAATGATAAAAAAACCTGAAAAAGTACTCCAACTGTGACAATCTACACATCAGAGTCCTATCAGTGTTTCTCTAAAATTAACTGAATTAAAATGGTATGATTATTCGGTGGCTATTACCATACATACACAAGTATAAACCGACCCGAGTATCAGGTGAGGCACCTAATTTCACCACAAAAACTGCATTTTAAATGTGCTCAAAAACTCGGCTTATACACGAGTATATACATGTTCAAATATTCACATGAGTATCAAAATAGGCATTGACTACAAATAAACAATTTTTCTCAGTGTTGGCATACACAAGGTGTACCACACAGAATTAGAGGATATTCTAGAGCTTAGAATTGGTTTTTATGACTTAGGAACTTTTTCCAAGTCTTAAATATTGAAATTGGAATCAAACGGCCTTAAATCTATGAAAACGTATACTTTCTTAGAAAAATGTACTAAGAAACACTATGTAAATCAAACATTTGTGAAATAAAATTGTTTATAATAGAGTCCTTTCTAAAGTCTGAATTTAGGTAAAGTATATATCCAAGTGTTTGTGCTCCAACCGTGTGTGCAATACTTGCCTTCGTCTGCCCTATTTATTTCGTGTTCTGGAAGCCTGGAACTGCTGGGTCTGGAAGGTGAACCCACAGATGGCTGCAATGAGGGAAGCTCATCAACATCTCTCAAATTAGCAAGCATATCTTGTAGTTTTGACCTATTGGGCCCTAGCCCCCAAAAAAAACAAAAAGGGAGAGGGAGGACAAAAAAAGAGAAATAGATTTATCTAACCACATCAAAACCTTGCCATAAACCTTATTTATATCTGCCAACATTTACCTTTGATAATGGCACCATTACACTTTATTAGGCAATAATTATTTTCAGAAGAAACTTTCATTTTCTGAAAAGAATTTTACATAGATTTTTTTAAAATTAAGTTAATGAAATGATACTATTTGCATGAAAAAGAATGCTTGTGTCCAATCTGGACCCTTAAAAGCAAGATTATTCTATAATCAAACCCTTGCATACTACTCTAAACACAGATTGTACAAATGGTGAAGCTATTGTGTACTGAATTAAATAGCATCCCTTTTTGTTTGTTTGTCTGTTTAAATTAAGTTGCATTCGTTGTCTTACATCCTGAAGCTATGGTACCCGAGATGAAGTCTCATGCCTGATGATTACTTACCTGAGCTTTGATCCATCATTCTCCCACATCCCTGTTTTGATTGTTTTATATAGGATAGAGGCTGAAACAGATCTTCGGTAGTTTTTCCTGTTACAAGTTTAATTAAGAATGGGAAAAATCTTACCCATAGTCCATTATGGTTTTTTCCTATACTAGCAAAGAACACAACTACTTTCAAGCAATATTAACTAATATCTAGAAATATATATCAAGACATTATATTTGGTGTACACAATTTGACTGGAAATATTTCTAATAGGCCACATTAAAAAGACTCAAGTTTATTCAATGACTGATAATTTAGTTAAAATATTTATGGTAATTTATAAATCAATGCTTTATAAAGCAAATCAAAGCATTGGTTCGTTTGTTTTTAACATTTCTTTACTTGTTCCTAGACTGTTTTATCAAGATACCATGAACTAAAGAAGACAAAATGTGCTGAGCTTAAATCTATATATAGGTCTTTCCATCTTCAACGAAAGATGCTCAATTTCATGTACACCACCTGACACCAAGAGTCCTTTTCTTTACAATACTGGGGAAAAAAGTGCTACAATACTGATCAAATATCCTACACAAGGAATTCAGTTGCTTCTATTAGAACAAGAACTGTTCCAGTCAAATGGTGCCGTTTTAAGACTATAAATGCTAAATTCTAACTACAGCAATGCCTGATATTTGACAAAAAGTGACTACTCAGTAGAATAGATGGATTCTCTTTAAGTCCTGGCTACCTTCCCATTCTCAAGGTCTTTTACACTACAAGATCTTTTACAGTGTCATATGATGACCAAAAGTAATACATTAAATTTTATTTAATTAAATCCAGAGACATTCTAGTTTCTCATGTATGATACAGTATTCACATTTTCCTCAAAATTCCAATTTAAATTATTTTATCATGGCTCTGAAAAGCCATGAGAAATCATTTCTCACTTTATCTGTTGAGATTCCTTTATTACAGAGTAATATTAATGGTTGATACTATTTAACATTAATAGTCACTCTTTTTATCAGTTCTCACTAAACACTTATAAATTCTGAGATCCTTTAAGATGTAAATGTTTTAAGCTAAGTGCTATGCTACAAAAGAAGATCCTAACAGAAATTTCTTGATTTAAGGTAAGCATTAGTAGCTCTTTAAAACGAGAAAATGCACACCCTTGTAATCTTTTGTAACTTTTAAATACATTTCTCCACAAGCTAGGTCCTGGTCTCAATTTATAATTCTTTAATATCACAGAGGATGAAATTCATTATTGCCATAAAAAGGAGAATTCCATGTTCATAATGTCAATCAATGAGAGAGGAAGTTTACACAAGCTTACAGGGATATTTGAAATTGTTTGTATTTTCATTTTACATATTTACATAGGTCTACTGCTAAACTTTTATGAATAATTTATGTAATGAAGTTAGGCATATATGATTCACAGGGCTAGAAATTTCACTTTGGTTTATTTTTGATGTGGCACATTTGGCCAAACAGGAAAAAGCTAATTGGTATGATTAATACTTGAAAAGTTATGCATTTGCCTCTGTTCCCTGTATAGCACATAGTAGTGAGAGCTAATGAATTACATGCTATGAATACAAAATATAATCAGGGGTAGAAATTAACTTTGTCTTCAGGAGCTAAAATAATAAGCACTAATTTTGGTGGATTTCCAGAGTGCCCCAGCTAGATGAGATTTATATATTGTTAACAGGGAAATACCATTTTTGTAATGAAGCACACACACTTTAAAAATAGCAAATTATAGCTACGTATGAATGCCTAGTCCAACACTATCTTAAGGCTCAGCATTTATTATTGGGATATAACTCCATAATCACATATAGGCCTTTTTTTTTCCTTCCAAATTCATAATCAAGTAGCCATTAATTTCAACCCCTGAGAACAGGTGAAAAGGAAAGAGGTCAGGAGCAGAAAAGAAAAAGAGTAAGTAGTTTTAGGAAAACATTGAAAAAACTGGGGATGTGAACAAGGCAAGACTTATGATTTACAGATACAATGCTTTCCACTTACTCTTCACCCCCTTTTTCCCCTTTCTCTCCTTTTTGTATTGCTCCTTGAGCTTGGTAATCACTCCCTGGTCCACGTTCCAGGCTTCAGGCATGAGACACTGGTCTTCCTTTTCTAAAGAGTGAAACAAATGAAACAGCCTTTTTCAATCAAATCTTAAACATTTACAGTCAGCTGGTCTGAATGAAGAAGCCACTATCTGCTTCACAACATCACTCATTTCAAAAAGTTATTGGCTATTCATTAGAGACACAAGTTACACAAAATACAAAGTTAAGAAACAATGATCAAATCCTTTGTTTAAGGTAATAGTGCTACATTTCTCTTGAAAGAGACAAAGGAAAATTATCTGAAGGATTTGGGTAATTTTTAGCTAAGTAAGCCAACTTTATCATCAAGAACCCTCAATTTTTTACCCTACCTTCCAAATTCAAATACAATTTGTTGATGCAAAGAAACCAATTTTTATTATATGATGAGACTGTCAGGAAATGATATAAAGTCATTTTCAACAGGTTTTTATTTAAATTTTTGGCATGTATTAATGAACAAATTAAAGTATTTTACAAATTATATCAATAATAATATTTTGTAAAGTTTATTGATCAACTTTTGTTCAAAATCTAACACAATTTAAGTGATGTGTTAGTTTGTAAGCTCCTAAAATGAACAGGAGATTGAGTTTATATTAGAAAAAAAAATTCAATAGCCAATTTTCACTAGTGCAGAACAAAATTCAAAAGTGCTGATACTATTAAAGAATCTATATACTATGTCTCACATACTATGTGTTACAACCATGGTGGCAGTAGGTTAAACATTAGTCCAATAACATCAAAAGGTCGATGGCCCAAACCCATCAGCTGTTTCCCAGAAAACAGATGAGGTAGTCGGCTTCCATAAAGATTTACTGTCTCAGAAACACTATGGGGCGGGGCAATTCTACTCTCTGTCTTATACGGTTGCTATGACTTAGAATCAACTCACCAGTTGTGGGTTTGGATTTTGGTTTGTTCAGTTCAGAACTCTGGCTTGAAACCGAGACTCATGCATTCAATTGCTGGCTCTACATTTGCATTAGAAAGTCGGACAGCCTGAAACTGAACGTGTACAAAGCCAAACTCCCCCTCGCCCTCCTTACCCAACCTGGTTTACTCACAGGGGTCTCCATTTCAATCAATGGCAATTCCATACTTTCAATTGATCAAACCACATCTCACATAAAATATTTTATGAAATTGTTTCCTTTACCTTCAAATGACCCCTAGAATTTATTTCCCTGCATACCTCCTGCTATTACTGTACCTTGATTGCTTGCTGGAATTGTGGTGATAATTGTCCAAACGCTTCCACACCCACCCCACCTCAACCCACACACTCCATCAGTTCTACTCTAACAATAGTTATCCTGTGTGGTATACGCTCCACACAACAGCCAGAGGGGCATTTTCGATAAAAGTCATATTGTGTATTCCTCTGTTCATACTCCCTGCCCCTGTTGTCTCCCCAACTCACCAGTGGTCTAAATGGCCGTCAGAACCAACATGTAAAACACCAAACTAACTGCCTTTGAGGAGATTCTGATTTATAGCAGCTTTGTAAGACAGAGAAGAAGTGTCTTGTATGATTTACAAGGCTATAATCTTTAAAGAAGCAGAACGCCACATCTTTCCCCTGCAGAGCAACTGGTGGGTTCAAATCACCAGCCCTGCAGTTAGCAACAGAGCACTGGCTCCTGAAATGGTGCCACATACTCTGGCTCGCTCTTACCACGTTCCCCTAAAGAACTCAGTCCCAGATGCTGGCTTCACTGACTTCCTCAAGCATGCCAAGGCAGCTGACCTTTGGGCAATGATCCTGAGGCAAACAAATCTATCAAGCAACCTAGAAAGTTTATTTTGAGTAAATCAAAATGGCTTTAAGATACCACTAGGCTCATAAGCAGCTATTCTCTTACAAGTAAAGTTCCAACAAATGAAAATATACTAGCAATTTACTTAATATATCAATAGGAAAGTCATTAAAAGATTCATCAAATGCCCTAGCATTATAAATTATTTCTGACAAATTAGGAAAATTCATATCTACTTTAAATTTTGAGAACACAACAGAAAATTCAGCCACATAAACATAATCTCTCTTTCAGACATTTTCCTACTAGGATTGTTCATTATTTACACAGAATGAATATTTATTTCCTTGAGTTGCTAAAACATCATTTTGACTGTGTAGTAGTTCAGGTTGGGGAAAAGAAGGTAATAAAAAAATCCTTTTTCTGTATTGCTCATTAAGAATAATAGGCAACATTTTCCACACTTACTTGAAAGTCTATATTGATCATTATAAAATGACCGAGAAACTATTTAGAAAAAAATTTAACATAAATGAGTAAAAATAAGTATTTCTTTGGGCTTTAGAATTCTGACTATATTCCTTTGAAAATATGCAGAAATATGGTTTAAATTAATACTTATGTTTAAAATTAAAATATTTAAAAGGCCTTAATTTTATGTGATAAAAATAACAATACTAAATGAAATAATGTGTCTTTAAATTTTATTAGATGTCATGTATCTAAATAATAATAACTAACTCTATGAAACAATTTTATATTATCCTATTATCTTAAGAGGAAAATATTTCAAATATGAAACCATTGGTTTACTGTTTGCAAGCCGTGCAAGTGTTTACAATCTTAAATGACATCAAAGTTATTAGTTGCATTGTTATTTCAAAAAAAATCATTTGCCCAAATGCTGACTAGGTTATATTTAAGCAATCTACCAAAATGTTCTTACGTTTCAAAGAGTTAAAAAGAAAAAAAAAATCAATGTAAACTCTAAGTTTTACTCTAAATATTTTCATAAGCATTCTAATTTAGAGTAACAATATAATATTTATGTACATAACCAAAATAGACATACAGCGAACCCTCGTTTATCACGGTTAATCGGTTCTAGACCCTACCGTGATAAATGAAATTCCGCGAAGTAGGATTCCTTATTTGTAATTCAAATATTTTCGTAGTTTGAGCATAGAGGACATGAAAAAAACCCATTAGTCACCATTACACTCATATTACCCAATTTATTAAACGAAAAAGGGAAAATACAGTAAAACATTTTGGACATTACAATTATCATTTATTATTTATTATATTATTTATGGCATCAAGCGTGTACAGTATGAGCCAATCAGTGGCAGTAGTAACAGAGCATGCGCTGTTACTCAAAAACCGCAATAGAGTGAAGCCGCGGAAGTCGAAGCGCGAAGTGGCGAGGGTTCACTATATATTTAAAATGAGAATCAATATACTTTTGTCAATTTTTTCATATACACATCCAACTTTTTATACCAAAACCCCACTACTGCATGTATTTTAATTAGTTTATCATCCAATATCAGCTCTAATTTTTAAAAGTATAGTATACTCTATACTTAAAATAGTTGCTAAATAAAAAAAAGTTGATAAAAAATTTATAATAAAAAAATTTACTCTCACACATTATCAACTAGTTATCATCGATGTAGGGGCAGAAAAATATTTAATGTGGCTCTTCTGGCCGAAATCTTTAACTCCCACCAAAAGACTGTTCCCTGCATGTGTCTGGTAAGAAGGTGGGGGAAGAGACTGAGATTCTTACAATGCCATTCTGCTGAGCATAAAATGAGCTCGAGGAGGAGGAGGACAGGGTTTCATTATCAGCAAGATCTAGGGGTGGAGTGTGTCCTCTGGACCCGAGATCCCTATATAGTGAACTTCTTGAATCCACAAGACAGTACATCAGAGTGCTCAAGCAGCAGCAGAACCAGGAGCCAAAGCATGAACTAAGAGTAGTGGACTTCTCAGCCCACAGAGGGAGTAAAGCCGAGCACTTTCGGGCACGAAGCTCGGCTTGTGAAGTGGGGTGCCCCTGGCCACTTAACCAGGATTGCTGGTACTGCTGAGGCACGGAACTGAAGCTGAGTACCTTTGGGCCTGCTGGAGTGTGTCTCTGGGCACTTAATTCAGGGAGCTTGGTTTGCTGGCCCAGAGAGCTTGAGCTGAATGCCTTCAGATTAAGGGTTACAGCTGAAGGGTACGACCCTATGAACATCTATTAGCAATCTGGGAAAAGCTATGTAACATGTGCTGATGAACACTCTATCCTGAGCGTTTTTCACTGGTGTAATAACCTGTTAACTTCCTTAATAAACCCTGTAATCATTCATTTTGTCTGAGAGTTATGTCTGACCATCTAAATGTATATTAGAACTTGGAGATCAAGTAGAGAATACTACTTATGAACAACACAATCTCTAACAGCAACTTTAAAAACAAGATTCCTCCATAGTTTAACTTTATATATTTTAAATTCTAAAGATTGCTAAATAATATTCCATCGAAAAACTTGTTAAAGAGAAGCAAATTATTTTTCTAAAGGCTTAGTAAAGTAACATGTATGTAAGTCATATTCACCCTGGATGTGAGGATACTGCAGAAGCTGTGTACATGAAGTGCAAAATCTGCTCTGCTCTTAAAAAGCAGGGAGCTAACACCCATCTCTTTAATCTCAAAGGAACATTAAATTTCTTATGCCTTTCTAAATATGTCTTCATGTGAGCTGATTTTACATTTGCCCATTAAAAAGCATGAAACCAGCAGTTAATATGTTAGTCACTCAGTTAATCCCCCGTGAGTTAGGCATACAGTTGAATAGAAACAAAGATTTTTTTTCATTCTTACTTTCCCCTAATATGTGCACATTTATTTTTTACGGAAAACCAGCTTTATAAATCCTTCATGAGAAAACTGTACAGTGTTGTTGCATGCTTAAAATACTAACTTATACTGGTCCTTAGAGAGTAGAATAGAACTGCTCCTGTGGGTTTCCAAGACTAATTCTTTATGGGAGTTAAAAGCAAAAAATTTTTCCCCAAGCGCAGCTGGTGGTTTCAAACTATAGGACATGGTAAACTTCCAACTTCACAAAGAAAGATGAAATAGTCTCCTTGCTTTTTTTTGGTTCAAAAACACTTGAAAGTAACAAGTTATATCAGGCCATCAGCAGAACTGGATTGTGTAGTAGAACAATATGCCGGGGGTGGGGAAAAAGCTCCTTCAAGTCCTTTACTGAATAAGGCATTCAAGAGTTTAAAGGTCACAGGTCAATAGGTGTTAAGCTAATTCCTGTATTTGTCAATTCTCTAACTTTATCTGTCCTTAAAATACACAGGAGGATAAACAAAGTTACAGAATTCTTAAACTCAAAAGAAAATTCTCTCACTAAGGAGAATGAAATTCCAAACTACAAAAATGACCTATTAGAAATTTTTACTACTTTATGCTTAAAATAATAAATCCAGTTAAAATAACCTGAGGAAAATAATCCTATGCCTTCTACAAACTGACAAAACCCAACTAGAATAAATAACTCTGACTTTCCAACTTGTAGCTCCTTTTTTTGCACAAATATTAGCTATGATCGATTTTAAATTCTCTTATATTCTCATTCTCAATTTCCACAAAATCTAGATTTGCAAATTCTCCTCTCTAGAGAGAAAACAAAATATAATTTGTACATGAATTAAAATTGTTTTCAGATTTTAGAGCATATACTAAAGAAGAAACAATGAGGTAACTAGTTATACAACATTCTTCACAACACACACACACACAAAACTGTAAAAAAAATCCGTAAGATGTTCAACATTGTATAGGACTTAAATAAAGTGTTCTTTAAGATGGAGCCCTCTCATGAGAGCATCCGTTGGTTTACTAAATGAGTGTCCCTGAGTAGAATCCCTGAGTTCCCTTACCCCAATCTGTTCCATCGCCAGCACTTCTAGATTCATTGTCACCTTCATCTGATGTAACCAAGAAGTCAAACTCCTTTAGGGCTTCCTTTGTATCTCTATCTTCACTGCTGTCAGGCAGTACTTTTTTCCTAACGATCTAATGAAAAACATGTTAAATGAAATTATTAGGGCAGATTGCAGATATAAATTAAATAACGGAGATGGCACAGGACTGAGCAGTATTTCTTTCTTTTCTGCATTGGGTCTCTGAGTTGAAACGGATTTGACAGTATCTAACAACACCATAACAATAACATAGCCCTTTACCTTTGCAAGGGAAAACACAATTCAATTATTATTCTCAGAAAGTGTAACTTTGCTGTATTAAATAATTGAACACAGACACAACTCAGTGAAAAACAGGTTTTTTTAAAGGTGTGTTATACTTCAAAACAGAACCTTAAACTGTGTTCAATGTCAGGTATGATGGCTTTTAATTCACTGAAGCATATATTAAGATTATTGAGGCACCAGACGGCTTAAGATATGAAAATAATTTATAATTAATTAAGGGGTCACAAGGGTGGGAGGAAGGGGGAGGAAGGGGGAAAAGAAGAGCTTATACCGAGGGCTTAAGTAGAAAGAAAATGTTTTGAAAATAATGGTAACCCATATGTGCTTGATACAATTGATGATGGATTGTTATAAGAGCTGTGAGAACCCCCAATAAAATGATTTACACACAAAAATTATTGAAATCTACCTATTTCCAAGTATACCTCAGATAGATGAAAAATGTCCCTTGATATACTATATTATGAGGCCCACAAGCAAACCTCCCTTTTCTTGGATGTGGTCTGTGCAGTTTGCAGATATTCTAATATAACCAAAGGAAGAGACACTTCATAAAACACTGAAGTTTTCTTGGAATAGAATTATGATGAAATTTAAGTCTAGTGCATCATAAAACCTAAAATTCACAAATGGTACAACTCAGAAATGTTTGCATCAAGAATGACCTGGGAGTGGGTTTCCATCATTTGGGTTTCCATTATTTCTACTGTGCTAACCTTGCATCATTTTCTCCAACAGCTCTATATTCAGTTACTTTTCCTTAAATGCTGACCTCTCCAATGTAGGCTATGCCTCATTTTTATATAGTTATAAGTAGGTGTGGACCTTTTGCTCTATAGGTGCTTCATGATTGACCTTCTTGTTAGTCACCTCCCAAATATTTCAGGAAAACCATTTGCCATTTCTTTAAATAAACAAACTCAACATCCCAATGTTTCAGGAGTTTGTTTCTTTACTGCATGCAAGTTAAGAATAGCCTTACCAAATCTAATTTTAACCAGGAATTTTATGAGTCTTTTGAAATTATAAAGGCTCAACAGACTCACAAGAGAAGACTAGAATGTCCGGAAACATACCCTAGCACTGGCTCTCCACCTTCCTAATGCCACAACCCTTTCATACAGTTCCTCATGTTGTGGTGACCCCCAACCATAAAATTATTTTCGTTGCTACTTCATCACTGTCATTTTGCTGTTATGATTCGGGTGAACCCTGTTGAAAGAGTTGTTCAACCCCCATAGAGGTCATGACCCAAAGGTTGAGAACCACTGCCCTAGAATAACAAATACCTGGCTTGGGTGGCCTTGTTACCAGGTTCCTAATATTACTGATCAACCATGACACTTTTTATCAGCGATCCAACAGTCTCAGAAATCCACAAAGCTGACTCTAGGAAGCCACTGCCAATAAATAGAACAGAGGTGATAAACTATCTAAAACCTATCTTGGTACACATAAAACTCAGTAGGAGAAATGAGAAATGACTGATGCTGGAATAATCTAGTAATATTAAGAACCTTTCCAAAATCAAGATATACTTTCATGTTTACAATTTTTGCCAATGTAGAAAATTTTAAAGGCAACAGTAGTATAGACATTATGAACAAAAGCCATGCTAAATGTGTAATCCTTCTAAAGTATGTCCAATCATATGTAAATAACATGTTTTTCAAGGGAGCCAGATTAAGGCAAAGAAGTGTCTCTGAAAACTTACACCAACAAAAGATGCTAACCCTCAGTTTCACAAGTAATACAACAGTACTGCCTAATGGACATTCCTCTACTCTAAAGGCTTCTTGCTCTTCCTGTCCCTAACCCTGATGGCACCTCACAGCAGTAATTCAGAGAGATCCCCAGCTACCACCATCCCTATCTTACAGATAGCATGTGCTTGTTTTCCTTGCCTGACAAAAAAGGTAGGATTAATCCAGAAGTGTCTGGAATCTCAACTTGAAAATGTGAATGTATTTTCAGCGTTCATTTGTGATAACTCTAGGCCTGAGCCAAAATGCTAGCTCTGAAAAAAAGCAATTTGTTCCTAGGCCTCTTTTCTCAGTAAAACATTACAAAGAATGGTGGTAAGTAAGTAAGACAAGGCAGCAAAGTTATTTGCACAGTATCTGTGATACCATGAAGGGAAAAAATCAATATTCTTCTCCTTCCTGTTAGTTGATTATCAATAGCCCTTTAAAAACTTCTCAATACTAAGAAAGATAAACTAACTTCCGTGTTCATATACTCCCCCCGCCCTGCCCCCGCCCCATTTGTGGCAGGGCAAGATGTGAATACATTTCTGGGGTGGGAATTACAGCAAAATAAATTCTCCAAGAAGGAAAATGAGTAGTTAGTAGTAGAGGAAGGGGTTCATAGTACAAGGATTTTGTATGAGGTTAACTATTAGTGACCTAATTGGGGCTATCCTTACTTTGGCTATCAATTTTTTAAAACGGTCAAGTTTATTTCAAGGTGGTGCTGAGATAATTCATGTACTGCTATAGAAATTAACCAAAGATGGCCTTTGAGTTGGCCCTGGGTTACTGGCTAATTTCTACAACAGAAGGCCTGCCTGACTACAAGGCAAACTTTTGAGACATGCATTCATTTTACACATAGTCAAAGAAGCTGATTTCTAGCTTTCTAGAGCCTGTCTGCTCTGACTACACAGCAACAGTCCACAGAGTATCTGCTATCCACAGACGGGATAAACCTGCTGGTATACCCATCATAAACAGCTTCTGTTCTTCAGAGCTCCTTGGCCTACACAGGACCCACTGCTGTGTGAAGGACAGACTCTAGGGCAGGAGTCCTCAAACTACGGGCCTGCGGGCCACATGCGGCCCGCCGGGTGTTTCTGCCCCGTTTGTTTTTTTACTTCAAAATAAGATATGTGC